TATTTGGGCAGTTTATTCTCTGTTGTATTCTCAAGCAAACAATACATACAAGTACAGTACAATATTTTCTGAGGAAACACGCATACTTATCCTTTTTTAACCCCATTCCCGATAACCCGGCATTTTCACAAACTCGGCCACCCTTCGGTCCACATTAGGCCGAGTTTTCGAGGCTCTACTGTATCAGATGAGCCTGACATTGCCAGTGTAAAAAATAACAACAAAGGTTAAGATTATTAGATTGTTTCATACTTCTAACCCTTATATAAAGCAAATATTGTACTATAATACTGTATAATAGAACTACAAAGGTTATCTTACATAAACCCTTATGTAAGAATCTGGCTGGAATGGTTCCAGATGGCTGGAAGCCGCGACTATCCACAATGCCAACCGGCTAACCACCTGCATTAACCGGAAAGAGGAACTGACCTTGTCTATGGCCTGGCAATCACTATTGGACGCCAATCCGCTGCTTCCCCCCGCCGCACGGCCGCACATGCCAGAAGCGACCCACCCCCTCAGAACTGACACCCAATCCTAGAGAAGAATAATATACACTCCGTCCGGGGAATTCTTTCAGTTGACCTGAAGAAGAGCGAACAGAATGCTCGAAAACGTTTGTCAAGCAATATTTAACGTATACGCATAGAGCACCGGTCACAGGTTCCGATAGTGTGACGTAAGATAACCTTTATAGTTATATAAATCAAATAATAACGAACGGTAAAACAAACACCATATAGAGTGTTTGGTTATTTCAGCCTACCATTGTTACATTTATCACAATACTAGGATGGTACAAAATGGCACAATTTCATTGGTCAAGTAGATACCAATTGAAAACATGATATTTTAACATTAGGAAAAAATATGACATTTAAAACAATTTAACTCTAAAAAACTGTACCACTCACAATCAATTAGCAGATGGTAATCTTCCAATAAGTCAATTTGGCAAAATAAAAATAAAAAAAGATTGGACCAAATATTTAAACTTGACACCCTCTAAAATCACTTATATCATATTTTGTACAGGCTGGTAATCTTGTATTATGTAATTTTCCTATTTGAATGCCACCATACCACTGGTAGAATAGAAAGAAGGGACTGTTACCAAAAGGAGTTGAAGTAATTAGACCAATAGTAGTCATTGACATCCTCCTGGAAGAGAAGATTGTCAATGACTTTGTAATTAATATTTGAAAGGTAATCCATGTTGGATAGGTTGTGATGGCCCTTCATGTGAATATCCGAAAGACACTATATGACTTATTTAAATAAAAAAAGATCTTGAAAAATTTGAGAATAATTGCTTTTATGTGATAATAAAGTGTTTTAGGGCTGTACACAGCCATCTGACTGCCTGGCGTTGCTATAATCAGTGTAGTTTCACTCAAGTTTAAATTATCCTGGCTTTGTAAGATGTTTTACATCCTAGTACTCTCATTCACATTTATAAAGTTGGCTCCAACCGCCGGCACATCAGATGGCTCTGTATGGCCCTAATTAGTACAATCGCCGGCACATCGAATGGCGGGTAACTTGTTAATCTTGAGAAAGTCTGTAACACCTGAATAGGGGCCAGTTACCCTTAAACGGATTTCCTGGAAGGCATTATTTCCCTCGATACGACCATCATAAATGCATACAACTACTATTACATGACAATTATGTCAGACTTTACCACGGGGCAATATAGGCTAGAAGCTCATATCCAACTAGCTTCTACAAGACAAGACATTACCCCGCATGTCTAGCTGAACAATTCCATTGCTTTCATCTTAATGCTAATTAGTCTTTTATGTTAATTTCTTATTGCTTTTAGTATTTAATGCTATATTAATTCTCTATAAAATGTATTTTTGGTATGTATTTTGGAGTGTCTAGAATGAATTAATTGGATTTACATTGATTCGTATGGAAATAATTGCCTCGGTTTTCGTAGGTTTCACATTTTGCCGATTGTTTTCGGACAGTTTATCGACGAAAACCAAGGTATCACTGTAATTTACCAGTGTTGAGCAGGATTTAACTTAGAAGACATTGTCTTTTGTATTATATTTTTCTTCCAAACTCAAATTTTTTTGATATATATGCTTTATTTTAATAGAGTGGAAGATACTGAATATAATGGGCTTTAAGCTTTTTACAAAAATCATTTTTTTTAATGTATTTTTTCCCCTATGACCCAGTTTTTCTTCCTTTATTTTTACAAATAGACTCATCTGGGTTATGATAACATTATTATTGTAAAATTTACTAAAATTTGGCCCTATTCATATAACTATCTAACTCAAGAAAGAAGTTAGACAGACGAAAGTTGAGATCAAATGTGGAAAGCTTAGGCTAGGAGCCCAGATTAACTATATAGGAACTTTTAGTGCAAACCAGAAATAGTTACTTCAATTCAAAATTTCCCCCTGAATGGAGTTAGATGACCAGCACGACTCTATTGCTAACAGGAAAAGTATGATGCACAGGGGCAAGACCACCACTAAAAGAATTAAGAACATTGTGAAAATTTGCAGTCTGGCATTGTACCTGATTTCACAATAAATAAATCGCTCATTAAGATTAGTTTGATTTATTTAGTTATGGCAACACAACATGTGAGCAATTTGCCAAGAGGGATGCATCTCAAGAAGACTTATGGAAAACCAGACCCTATTTAGGTGTTATTAACATGAAAAAACCCCAGAAAACTTTATGTGGCCAGCCTGTTGACCATGACCCACAACTAACTAACTACCAGTGTTTGGTGGTTTTATACACTCAGCTACTGGAGAGCACTTACTAAATTTAAAAAAGTACTGTTCAGAAATGAATAAACCTGAATTGTTAGATGTGAAAAATGAAGTACTTACAGACTTTTCACAAGGTAACAATTTCAATTCCATACAGGCAAGTGCTGTATATTACCTGTTGCAGTAATGATACAGAGCATCTATTTCACCCATACTATTGTCGCAGTAATTATGTAAATATCATTTTAAAATATACTTTTATTATATATATATAATAATTNTATATTAAATTTTTTTTTTAATTTTTATAGAGGCAACAAATGAAATGTTGACAGAAATTAATTGATTTATAGAAATCCAATCAATATTTTGGGGTGGAATGTACAACATTATGTAAGTTAAAAGTATGTGAACATAA